CATTATCCGCATTTTGCTGGTCTGCCGGTGGGGATCCTAATCAGGAGCAGGCTCCTTCCTCAGGCATCCAATTTACCAGTATGAAGCTGCAAACTCAGTAATCTTAGCACGGTCAAGAGAGCTGCAGACTGGGGACGCGTGGTTTCCCGGACAGCCCATCACACGCTCCTCTACACGCCGCTCTCATATTCGACCGCTGGTAGGTTGTAACCTACCTCCTCCGCGAACCTCCGGGTAAACCCTATCGAACACCGCTTGGTGCCAATGTACAAATTAGCGACTTAGTATCACACGAATGCTATAAGACAAATGTAGAATCAGCAGAAACCTGAGAAGTGGCTTTAGATCCACAGCTCTGGGATCCCCCATGCGCGATAGACGCGTAGGTGCCGTGAAGGCTTTCGTGGGTATAGCGGATGTCAACCGGATGACTAGAGTATGGATGAGCCGCCGGGGAAGGGATAATAAGGGGTCGGCTTACAGAACTATAAGCCCACCTGACAGAAGTACTAGTAGAGCGACCGGAGTGTTGGTGGGGTGGGGGTGAGTAGAGGGGGTACTGTACTGTACTGTACTTGGCGGGGTCTATTGTAAAGCAGAGCAGAGGTCTATGGGAGACCAGTGGAAGGACTTTTAGAGAATTGTGGGATATAGAGGAATAGCCAGCAGTTTTTCTCCGGATATCCGCGCACGTATAAGATGGCTTTTCTTCATCGGAAGGTTACGGTACTGTATTTAAGTAATTGAGAAAACAAGGGGCAAACCAGGGGCAAACGTTTATGAGCTACCGGACGGTTTGAGGATGACTAATAGCAAGACTGGGAATGATATGATAATTATGATACAAGTACCGGTATTGGTTTCAATGGGCCCGGTCAACTTTCGCAACTGGATCTCGGGCCGAGGGGGGCCCCGAGACGGGTTCTCTTTCCCCCTCTTTTCGATAACTATGATACTTGTCCTAATAATCGTAAACCATTTCTCGTATACATGTCCCAAATCCCCCTGGGGCAAACTCGAGACGCCCGACTTAAATCCGGACTTAAAGCCCTTTGGCCCGAATATGCTAGGTCATGAATTGAGCAACTCTGTAGCGTTTCTTTTTTTTCTCATTGCGTAATTGTGCTTGTAGTTCTCAGGCCGCCTTGAGGCCCTTGGCCCTACCAGTACGTGGGTGATTAGTAACTTACAGTACCGGTATTACTCCCAACCCCTGTCTCGTGAGTCCTTTTTTCACCACTTACGCTCCTGCCGTGATTGTTTGTTTGAACGATTAAGGTTCTTGCCGTTTATTACCCCCTCCTCCTCCCGCCCTCTGGCCGGGGTGTCTCGTCCGAGATAACACTAGTTTGACGTATTTATCACCGCGAGGAAATGCCCACAAGCTATGAATTCTCATAATCCCCCACTCCCGTCCATCTTCCGCTTCTTTTCTTCGGGTTTTGAAGATATGGGGGCCAAACGGCATAACACGTAACGACGGGGCCGTAGCCTAAGGGCATGACATCATGGTCCAGGCAAACCAAGTTTTCCTGGGTCCCCACGTGCAGTTTCCTTCGAAAAATAATTATTTCACAGAGATCGGATAAAAGTGATGATTTGCCCCCAGAGGGGATGGGGGACGGGGAGAGGGAAGAGGGTGGAGGACATAGGGCCTGGAACAAGGGGAGGGATACTGCATCCTTTCCTACACTCACCCCTCTCCGCGGACATGTGGTGCACTGAAGAAGGAGACACGTGAAGCTTTGTTTGGCAACATTTCGGAAAGGAACAGTAGCGTCCGGAGAATTCTCGGGCTCGGCTGACCCGACTGATATGTTAATTCTACCCGAGTCTGGGGGAAGATGGGGAAGCCAATGCAGACTCCACCCAATCTACCAACGTCGTCAGGAACCTCTTGCACAACGGGGTTGGACATGCTCGAACTGGTTGACTTGAGGGAGTTATGAAGCATGTGCATCACTGCAGCTAAAACAGGCTATTCTTATCAGTGTACGAGTGTCTGGCAATACTTGGCCATTTACCTCAGTGGTACTAAGGCATTCTAGCTCCTCTCCTGTGCGTAGCCGGATGTGGATTTTTCCTTGCTGTACTGATATGATACCCTTGCTGCCCTGATATGTTCTAATACAAGGTAGCATACCGGCAGCGAGTTGTTTTCCTCACCTTCGCCAAAGGCCCTTGAGGCGACCGCGCGGCCTTCGTTCACTCCTCATTTGCTGGAGCACAAATGATGCCTGGGCGCTGATGGGGCCGAAATTCGGCGAGCAGAGCAGGGAGGACTCCTGTACTCATGTACGAGTACTCTGGTCTGTCCTCCCGGAGGATAGTATGTGTGAATAAACAGGACAAGCCCTCCGTGAGTGCTGTAGCTGTATTAAGAACCTTTCGGCTACAGTGACCCTATTGTGGTCTTGGATGCAGTTGCTTTTTTAGATCTACCTCTCAACACGATACAATGCCTGTCCAATGATCAGCCATTTGTTCCTTGGGTAGCAAGTATCTCGTCATTTATACCCTGTATTTTATACCTTAGAGTACCCGCTTCCCCCAAATTTCGATCGGGAAAAAAAGAGAGGGATCGAGAGTCCTAGAGAGGATTCAGGAAGTTTTGCGTTTGGCAGAGTGGCGGCGAGTGATAATGCAGGTAATTGCTCAAGGGCTAGACAAAAAAATCGTAAAAAAGGAAGCTCCACTCTAGAGAGCAACCCCCCCCTGTGCTTTTGACAGTATCACAAGATAAGCTGCTTTCCGGGTAATATAATTTCGTCAGCGTTTCCTTCATTGCCTGCACGTGCCCCAAGAGAGTAAATGCATGCCCTTCACCTACTTTCATGGCAAAGGATGAAAAGTACTGAAGCACGCCGTGTGAGTATACTTCTTCATATCCGTCGCTTCTCCGAGCCTCGAAAAATTGTGCCCTGAGCAAAAAACCTTTTCCCGTTGTCGTCACGGTTGACTTTACTGAGTTCATATCTATTTTGCTTCGAGTAACCGCGCTTTCCACGCGCCTTTCCGTCCCGACACACAATACATACATGAACTCGAGCACGCAGGCTTTCATGTGACAGCTGTTCGCACGTCCACGATATCCTGACGTGTTACGGTGCGGGTCTTCTCACACCTGATCCGATTATGCCCAAGATCGAAGGATGGTTGGATTCGAGTGATGCATAGTGAGCGCTGGATATGCATTGACCGGCTTTGGCAAGAATACAAGGGATCCTTCCAGGCTTAGGGATCAAGCCATGCGTCATTTGCCAACAGAAAATAAAGCGTTTCGCGGGACGGAGGGGCCGCTTCCAGAAGCACAAGAAAGGCTCGTGCTACCGGTAATACCGGTATACACGTACCGTACGACTACAGCCTTGTTCATCCCGGTCATCACCGTACGCTGAGGTTTGAAGGAAATGTGGACGGCCACCGCCAGCCTTGTGCATCGGAGGGACTTACAAACCGGGCCGGGCCTCTGGCACCGATGGCTGGATTCGTCCCGAGGATGCAATCCTGGGTGATATTTTGACGTGGATCGAATGGTTGATGCGATATCTTTTTGAGGACGTCCGATATTGTGCCTAAGAGGTCACAGGATCAGCATCAGGTACCGATAGAGTAATTATTATATCATACACGCACCGTGCAGACGGGTCTGGTACCTGAGATGCGTAGCACTAATACCGGCACTCCAGGACGACCGTCATACTACGGGAGTTGGCGTGGTTGGTTAACCCCTTGGCGAGTGAACAACCATACCTCGCAACAGGGGTCCAGAGTGCTCATGCCGCAGCGTATCGGATCATCAGAAGGTCGGTCCCTCGCACGCCCCACTCGTTCCGCAAAGCCAGCTGAGGAGAAGGCGTCAAGCCAAACCACAGAGTTTCAGATAGGAGCACTTTGTCCTCCGTATAAGATGCCAAACAGGACTGCCTTAGCTCGACGAGTGGGCACATCTGGTGGATCGGGCCATCCGTATTGGAGGCTCAGCTTCTGTGCTTCTACGGGCTATGTACTCGAGTAATCATTGGGTCATGCTTTCCCTCTTCTTGGCAGATGCGATAGGGTAGGATGAGCAAGTACGAGCGCGGCGCCGGTATGGGGAAGATGGTGTTGGAAAACGCGATCCCATACGGTACTGGCAGGTAATGCGTCTCCGACTTGTCTGTAGGATGTTAGGGATTTGTGACGCCGTTGCACAGTACTCGAGTAACTTACCGTACAAGTACTCGAGTATCAAGAGGGCAGACTACGGCACCGTATCGCTAAGAATCTACCAGTATGTTGGCGATCCATTTCGGCTCAGGTATTGATCGTCGGTGTCGAACCATGGCCAGCGGTAACACATACCTGTACGAGTACTGCTTCGGGGTGTTCAGTGCAAGGGGTGTCGGATCACTCGTTGTGCGAAACCGATCAATGTTAGTTTTTTCTTTCTTTCTTTTTCTTTCTCTCTTGCCCTTTCCCTTTCATCCCATTCATCACTTTCCTTTCGTCCTTCGCTAGCCTCCTTCCTCGCCCGCGGGGTCCGTAGAGGCACTTGTTTACCTTTGCGGTACGGTGGTTTGTCAGCACGCTTATGATACTCGTAACATGGAACCGAGAGTGCTTTTTTTTCGTTTTCGTTTCACACGCGACATATGGTGTCACTATGGTGTCGATGCTCTTGAGTGGTCAAGTTATTGATTCTGCGAGCTGCCCAGAGCTTCCTTACAGAGGGGAGCCGTGGGCTGTTCTCATGGAGGGAAAGGGTCGAATTAACTTTGTCCTCCCGATGGTGAAAGTATTCTGGGAGGGCGGGTGCCGAAATGGCATCATGGTGGGTCTCGTATGGTATGAAGAGTGAATGCGGGAGTTTTGTTGCCAACAATTTTCTGCCCAAGTATCCTCCTCGTCTAATTCTTTGATGGCGAGTTTACTCGTACGAGTGAAGCGCTCGGACACACAGCCCTTTGCGTAGGCTTTCGCAATGCACTACGTGGCCCCGTTTGTTCGCCTGATGCTGTGAGGAACGACAACTCTACCCCTTCCCCCAAACATCATCACCACCGTCACCTCCATCATCAATGTCACCTCCGCCCTCAAGCCCATCACTCTGTGCTTTTACCCGCCACTGCGCATCCGTGCTGATAGGATTAACATCTCCAGCAAGCGTATGCTGTCCACCATCAGCAAACCCCTTTTCCCTTGGCTTTCGGAGACCGTCGTGTGTACGAGCCTCTCTCAATTGGTAGCTCGACGACCTTCTCCTGGTATCTGAAGATGGTAAGCTCATCGCGGTATTAGGTTCTATCGGCTAGGGGACCGGCGTTGAGGGGTATAATACTCGTGTTTGGCGTATCAGCTCGATCCACACGAGAGAGGGGGGGGGAAACAACGAATCAAGAGATGTAATCTCGTCAATTGGATCAAATGAGCCAAGGGGGGGGAATTTACAAGTACGTTTACGGGTAAAGTCTGAAGCATATACAGCAGTCTGGCGATATACTGTATACTGTACGCACTCTGCTCGTGGATCAAGGTTCTGTGATTTGAACGCTAAGGTTGGGTGCGGATCACAAAGTTTACTGTTGCATGGGTGCCAGGAGCAGGTCAAACTCTAGGCAGCACTAGGCACCGGTAGTCCGTTCAAGAACGCTCGGGAAAACAGGGATAGCACTGCACCCTTTTGCACGAGTACGATTCTGTAATTCTCGGGAGAACAGAGCTTATTTGGCTAAGGGTTTGTAGACGGTCCTAGGGTCGAAGGTACGGTATTTGTATCTCCCCAATCGATCCCCTAGATTCTAGGACGGAAGGGTATTGTGATTGCAGAGAAAAGGGTTAACCGTGAGGAAATCAGGGTTTTCGTGGTACAGTACCTCTGCTCAGTAACTGCCGCTACGGCATCATATTGGTACAAGTACATACAGGCACGCACCCCACCGGACACCCCTCCCGAAACTGCACGAAACTACCAACAAACTGCAAGCCTTGTTTCACGCGAGTCGCCACTATTCACGGTGGAGGGAAAAAAAAATACGATATCACAAGATTAAATCGAATCATACACATTTAGGCAAGTTTGTAAAGTGCAAATGAGCTGTCACAATGGCTTTGTCGCCCGCGATTTTTGCCCCACATCGTTCCGTGCGGCTATTCCTTCTTCTGACTTTCTACTCGTACAGCGCAAAATCTGGGTTCGAGATCATTTAAGTACGCCTCCCCCCCGTTCCACTCGCCTATGCCCCCCTTGTTCCTATACAACCCTTTAACATCATTCTGAAAGCGAAGCGAGATGGATCCTGAAGCTGCGGCAAAGCGACTTGAAACTTTGAAGGAAGTCAGCAATGACTCAATCCAATTCGCGGAGGTATGTTTTCTTGATCCTTTCAGTTCTAATTGACCCTAACGCTATCTCAGGAACTATTGAAGGAGAATAGAAGACTCAGCCAAAGACTTGAAGAGATGCAATTGGTTTACGATACCATGGTGCTAGCCTGCCGAGACAATCAACAGCTACAGTTAAAGTATAGTGATGCGTTAAGCCATTTGGTACGCCGCTGCCTTCCCTGTTTGAAATCCAGCTAATGGGGTAGAGTCGAAACGGGTACATTATTGTTCTGGTCGACGGTGATGGAATGATCGTATGCTTTACCACCCGCAACCGCACAGGATGCCAACTGACTATATGATTGATAGTTCACAGAAGAGTTACTAGCTAAAGGAAAATCCGGCGGGGCAGAGGCTGGGAAGCTGCTTATTCAAGCTTTAACTGAATCACGTGGGGCAGGAAGTTTACCGGAGGTACACGTTAAGATCTTCGTCAATATGTACAAGCTTGCAAACATACTCCAAATTTCAGGTCGAGTTAAAGAGCCCAAGAATTTTAAAGATTTCGCTATAGGTTTTATTCAGGCCAAAGAGCACCTCTACTTCATAGACGTCGGGGATGGGAAAGAGATGGTAGACAGTCGTATTAGAGGTTTCCTATACACCGAACCCAACTCTCGTGGAACAACTAGGCTGATATGATTAGCGGAATTAAACTTTCACTTACAGAATTACAACTGTCAAAAGGTTGTGCTTGGAGCCTCGCATGATAATGGATACGTCCGAATTCTAAACAGCATACAATCTTCGGCCACACCCCACGAGAGTAAGGTCTGCCTATTGGAGGGGCCCCCATTCGCCAGCGAATTTCATTCTTTGCAGTTCAATAAGCTCAAACTTCCCGGCATCTTCGATTGCCGGAAATTGGAGACTCCCCGTCTGCCCCCAGGGCTGCCAGCTCCACCCAGGTCTGTAGAACTGCCGGCCCCTTACCCACCAAATTCGGTATCGTACGCCATCGCAGCTCAAGCACCGGCCCCAGCTACTACATCGAGGCCGACGTCCGCAATTCACACAGCGCCCAGTAGCAGGAATAGCATTGTAACTCCGCAGCAAAAGGCAGCGATGGCAAGGATTAAGGGTTTGCAGCCGCCACCCTGCAACGACCATTACATCCTTGGACAGTGCTGGAAAGAGTCATGCCATTTTTCACACAAGTATAGTCTAACACCATCCGAGATACAGGCGATGCAGATTAGGGTCGGCGCTACTCGATGTGAATTTGGCGAGGGATGCCGGAACGATAGCTGTTATAGGGGCCATTCTTGCACCTCAATTAGGGACGGCAAGTGCGCCAGGCCGAACTGTCCATTTTTGGAGAGCGAGCATCCGGAAGGCGCTTATGTGGGCTCGGTGACGAGGTTGTGGGGGGTCCGTTAGTGCCGGTGTGCATCGGAGTGGCTTGGCGGTGGCGGAGGTGGTGGTGGCGGAGGTGGTTGTTGACGGTGCCGCGCGTGGCAGTGGTGTGCTGGTTTGGAGCGATGGCGGGGAGAGAGGTGTGGGGTGAATGTGGGCGTTTGTCGAGCTTTGGCTGTGCCACATGCCGGCTAGCCGACGATGACGATGTTCATTTCTATTTCTTGTTAAAGCCTGTTTTTTTGTTTTGAAGTTTCTTTTGTTTCTAAAATCCGAGGATCCGATTGGTGACTGGGTGGCTATTACTCGAGTACTTGTCGGGAGCGGGAGATGTGCAGTTGGGTATTGTATCGTGCAGTACTAAATGCGCCAATTATGGGGAGTCTGTGCCCAGCCGTCATAGGCCCTCACTCGGCGGCGCCGGTGCGTACGGTACCTGCACCTGCTCGAGTGAAGGCAGATGAACCAGAATGGCCCGAGCACCGGGGTAATAGCGTTGACATCTAAGTCTCCCAAATCATGTACAAAGTTTTCTCCATCCATCCCCTCAACCATCCATTCATCCATCCTCCACACCATCTCCTCACCACGCTCATCGCGGCCGCCACCACCACCGCCACCAATGAGCAAGTCCGGTGCCTTAAATTCAGAGAGAGAACCGAGCTAAGGGGGGAATAAATGAATTCCCTAAAAGAAGAAAGAAAAATCAAAAAGCGTTACAGTAAGTTGACAAAGAAAATGGGGAGGGGTGGGGTGGGGCGGAATATTAGGACCCGGGGGGGGAGGCTGTGAGCTGTTTTTGGTTAGTAACCACCAAGCCCGCAACGCTGGCACTAGTGAAGGTCGAAATGGCGCCAGCGATCAAAGCGCTCAGCGCGAGCCGGGAGACGTCGCCAGTGCGGCTCGGGGCGATCTGGGACAACACGCCAATCGCGCTCCCCAGCGAGCCGATATTGGCGAAGCCGCAGAGAGCGTATACGGCGATGAGGCGGGAGCGGTCGGAGAGGGTTTGGAACTCCGGATCCGATTGAAGGCGGGTGTAGGCAACGAATTCGTTCGCTTGGGATCACGTTAGATGGGGTAAGTTAGAAGCGCGTGTGTGGGGGTTTAAGGGGGTACCAATTAGTTTCGTTCCAATCAATTGGGCAACTTTATATATGTCATCGCCTTCGCGCGAGACGCCGAGGAGGAAGGATATCGGGTAGCAGATGTAACCCACGATCAGCTCCACCGTTAACGGTGGGTCATTGATGTTGAGGTACCGGCCCCACCACGTTAGCAGTCCGTTCACGAGGCCGAGGAGTGCGAGGACGCAGAGCAGGATCGTCAGTATCATGCCGGCGATTTTCAATCCCAGCCATGCGCCCTCCGTGAAGGCGTGGAGGCCATTGACGGAGGGGTTCTCGTCCTCCGGTATCACCACTTTTCCCGCCGTGAGGCTCTCCTCCGTCTCCGGACAGCGCAGCTTCGACACGGCGAGGGAGGCGGGGATGCTCATCACGCAGGAGGATATCAGCGCCTGGGGGTTCACGCCCATGGCGATGTACGCTACAAGGACGCTACCGGCGATGGTGGCGAAGCCGCTGGTCATGACCTGGTGTATCTCCGCCTGCGTGAGGTGCGCCACGAACGGGCGAATCAGCATCGCGCTCTCGCCCTGTCCGATGAAGGGACTCGCGGCGGCAACGACCGCCTCCGCGCCCGAGACCTGCATGCTCCAGAAGAAGAATGCGGCGAACTTTCCGATGAACCACTGCAGCACGCCCCAGTAGAAGAGGAGCTGCACGAAGGCGACGAAGAAGATGATGGCCGGGAGAACGCCGATGAGGAAGTACGGTAGCTTCGCCACATCCGGGGACGTCAAGAACGCTGTCCCGTCGCGCGAGAAGCCGAGCAGCGAGCGCGCGAGCTCGGATATGAAGGTGAAGATGTCGAACCCCGCGCCCGTGCGGAGCACGAAGAGGGCGACTATGAATTGCATCAGCATGCCGACGAGAACCGTGTGCCATTGAATCTTCCGTCGGTCGCGGCTAGTTGCTGCGAGGATGCCCACGAATACCAGTAGGCCGAACAAGGATATCGCACGGCTGTCGCGGGTGTTGTTGAGCGATTCCTCGCTGGCGAAGGCGCCCAGCAGGAATATCGAGATTACCGATATCGCGCCGGCCGCCAGGCGGAATCTCGGGGGGATCGCAGCGACCACCGGAGTTACGGTCTTGGACCAGAGGAATTTGCAGGGACGCAGGACATGGCGTGCCGGCAACCAGAGGGTTATGATGCGCAGCGTTATCATGAGCCAGAGGAGGAAGGGGATGACCCAGTTCTTGTCGTGACGGTGGAGGACGAGAGATGCTATCCACCATCTACTCCATCCCGTTCGCCCAGATCGTTAGTCCCGGAATTGCTGCAAATACCGGAGGAAGAGGGGGGGGAGAAGGCAACGTACCCGGTGAATACTGCAAGGATAAACAGGTGCACAAAAGGCTTATACTTCCTATAATACACACCAGCCTTTCCCGGCCTCCTCCCACTCCCCTCGACGGAACTCCTCACACTCCCGTCCTCGGCCACATCATCTCCTTTCTCCGGCGCTCCCGCATGTCTCTCCATGTCGTGCGAGAATCGCGGGGGCGCGTGCTTGTCGCCCGAGTCGGTGCTGATAACGTACGAGGGCTCGGAGGCCGGATTGAGTGTGGCAGCGGAGTGGTGGAGGTGCGGGTGCTGGTGCTGGTTTTGGATGTCCAGAGCGGGGTCCGGGGGGCGTGATTTTGGAGGTGAGGTTGGGCTGTGGTGGTCCACCGTTGCTATGGTGGTGGCAGCATTGGCGGGCGTGGTGGCAGTGAGTGAAACAGACATTGTGGGTGAGGTCACGTTGACCTGTTATCTACGCTCTTCTTCCTCAAGGTGTTGAATTGTACAATCGATCGTAGGGGAGACGACACGATACGATATGATACGACCCAACGGAGGTGAGGCGGTGGAGGTACCAGAATGATGGACGATCACAGCGAGAGAAAAGTAGGAAAAAAAGGGGAGGGTGAGAGGGAGGGGGAGGCAGAGAGGATATAAATTATCTATTCCATCCAACGGACCCAGGGTCCCACACAACCCGGGATTTTCCCCGTTTTTTTCTTTTCTTTCTAATCGCATTAGGATAGTGATAGGTTACCTCTTCTCCTTCTCTTCCTTTTTTTTTCTTCTCTTTTTTTGACGAAGGCTAGCGCGGCGCTGGCCGCCTGGCTGATTGATAAAATCATTAAATATTGTTGGATTGGCGAGGGAGTGGGTGAGGGGAGGAAGGAAGGAAGCAAGGAAGAAGGGGAAAGCACCTTCCCGGGTTGGGGCATTTGTTGAGACTGCGGAGCCATGATACCGTGCAGTGTCGGCTGCGATGGGATTGGACAGATCAGGGAGGAGCAATCGCAGTATCAATTATGCTATTACGGTAGTCCAGGTATGATAAGATGAAGAGGAAGTGTCCGGGCTAACTTTGTTGAAGGGGGCTAGAACATACCATACCATACCTACAGGTATTATATAGCCCGGCCTGGCTATCTATATTATGTGGATTTACATGGCATCACCGTCATACAGTGTCATAGGGGGAGAATTGATGTTTTTCCCATCTAGACATCCATTCCTTAATTTGCGACTTCTGTGATGGTCCGTTATATAATATTGTATCTATTGTGGAAACCAGATCGCTCTCGGTTTCACCGCCTCACCGCTTACCCAACCGACCCTTCCGCAAAAAAGAACCTTTTTTTTTAAAGAAAAACAAAACTCCGATCCCGGCTGGTGGCCTTAAAAAAAACAAAACAGAGTTTTTCGAGGGACTTTTTCTTTGAATTGAACCCAACCCATCACATTCCAATTTGCGATTCAAACTCCGGGTTACAAGACATTGTCAGCACGGGTATCATACTTTGTGCGTGGACTGTATAGGCTGTACTCGTGCGGGTTCAGGTTCGCATGCGGTAACCGCGGCGTCAGGTGCAGGCAGGGTACGGCTACGGGTACTTGTACCGTAGCGTTAGCTTCCGCCCTCCTCCGTAACGTAATGTGTCGTTGATCGACGAGAGACTCGTCGTTCCACCAGGGTCTTGGCCAATCGCGTTCGGTTCGGGGCGGGATGCGGTAGGTTAGAGTGGGACGAAGGAGATGGAGTGGTACAAGTATGAGTGTACCGTGCCCTGTATTATACAACTATGGTGTGGGAACTCTGTACCCGGAGCACTAAAGTGAGGTATTTGGGGGCCAAAGTCAAACCTAAAGACTTTTTAACAGCAATTCTGGTCAAAAAAAATAACTCTATTAGGTGATAGAGTAGCTTGTTGGCTTCAACCTAATAGAGAGAAAATTAAATAATCTTTTGTTTTCATAGAGTTATTGAAGCTTAAAAGGGGGCAGATTTTGGGTGAGAGAATTGAAATGTCCAGGGTATTTTTGGGCATGTTAATTTCTATTAATATCCATTTAGCATGCAGTTAATATAACTTTACCAAGATATTAACCTATATTAAGGAAATTCTTAGAATCTTAACATACTATTAATTAGTCAAGATGAATGTCCGCCTACTCCGGCTACAGAGTTCCCACACCATACACCATGAAACCCATTTTAAAGTTATTCGGATCATGGTTACTGTAAGTACCATAAAACCTATGAAACCCACATCTCATCATACCCTAAGTCATCCCGTCAGTCAAGGGGAGGTTTAATCTGACAAGTTACCGGAATTGCAAGCGCTGTGACATACTAGCTATTGATATCCAACACTTCCGATAGGCCAATCTTATTACTGGATCAGCAAAAGGCTAAGGGGGTGTTTGGCCCCCCAAATCTGATTTGAAATCGCGATTTGAGATCAGATCTTGGCAACTTTAACTTAGATTATTTATACTATTAATCTAGGAACTATGTATGTAATTAGAAGTAACAATCTAAGTTAAAGTTCATGTTGCCAAGATCTAATCTCAAATCATGATTTCAAATCAGATTTGGTGGGCCAAACACCCCCTAAGTCTTTTCTGGTGCTTCAGTTTGAATCTGGGAATCACATGGGTGGCAGAGATACCAGTATGTTCCTTGACCTTTGTAGTTTGAATCCTGGCTAATTTCTCTGCCAAGCATGGTATTTACTTGCAAACCACACCACCATTACTCTCCCACATCTTTACACAAACATGCTTTGCTGTAATTTTTTCAATTCCTTATCCCTTGCCATCATTTTTTTCATTCCTACCTTATAGATCAATCTACTCCCTGTCTCATACCATACACACGGTTTCAAATAACATCAGAGGAACTTTTGAAACTGCAGCTGGAGGATAAGTATCTAGTTTTAGATATTCCATCAGCATAGTTGTGAGAATTGGAAGAGTATTTAGTAGACAGAGTGTATGTATTGAAGCAACTATTGACAGAAAAATTTTAACAAACTACTAGTTACACCTACTGCCCAGAAACTAGACAGCTGAATATATAAATAGCAATACAGACTCGGATGCATGCTACTGTATTGGATTAGGCTTTTTGACTTATTATGAGAGGGGCTTATATGGGGACATTCAAGAAGGATAACTTTTGCCTACTTGGTAAAGAATGAATAGGTAACTTCAGAGATGACTACAAGAATATGTAAGGATTATCCAGCTTAAAGAAGCAACAAAGATACTATACTAATGTGCTGATAGAGTAAAAGCTCTGGATACTAGTATCACAATCTTTCCTGAAGACCATTTTTGGCCCATAGTTGTTTTCGAATTTGAATATGCAGAACCCTATAGAGACCTTAAAAACAATATCAAGCTCTTGCTTGAGGACTCTGAAGGGGCAATGAGTAAAGGAATAATAATAAAGCTTCAACGCCTGGAGGACACAACACAGAAATCAAGAAAGACTTCATTGAGATTTGGTATTTTTCTAATAGAAAGGCAAAAGAAGATAGGAGGAAGAAAAGTGGCATTATGATTATCCTGAGTATAGGTTTGCTTTTACTAATGATAGAGATAAAGAAACTATCTCCTTCACTAAGGAGCTACAGGACTCGGAAATTAGAGCTATTGTTGAGGGATATTACCTGCAGTGAGTTTTGGAACCAGGTAAAGAAAGGCTAAGAGAGGGGAAATACAATAGATCTATACTTGGACTGTCTATGGAGAGCTATAAACAAGGCCACTACATGTTACCTCATTGCTGAAGGTGTTCTCCTAGAACAATCGCGTCACAGTTCTGATTCTGACCCTAGGAGAGGTGTTGATAATAATGAATAACTTTGGTGCTAGGAAGACAGGGGGTCTGATGAATCACTAACTGATTACTCCAATATTATTTTTTTGGTGGTTGAATGGGGATCAGATCTGTGTTATGTATTACATATATCTAGGATACTACACTTCTGCTTTGCTTTTCAATTGTATGGAACTATGGGGTTGTAAACCTGGATGAGTATTATCTCAGCTTGTTTAGTATTTTTTTCTCTAAGATGGTTGATTTTCAGGCAATTTGAATGATAGTTTATAAAGAAAGTTAGTATTGTTATTTACTGGTGCTCACTCAGTTTTAGAAAATACTAGCATCATGTTGGAAGAAATCCTGTAGAGTCTGGCACTTGGTAAAAGAGACAAGAAGTGGGGTTGAAGTTCCACCAAGTAGGGAAAGGAAAGCAGGGAATAAGGGGTAAGAAGGTGGCATAATTAGTTTTATTGGACTTCCGGAAGAGCTGCCTTTGTTTTTGTATTTCAGGGCACTCTACTTATTATTGGAGGAGAGTAGGTGACTTCTAATACCAAGGTTCAGATCTTGTCTGTAGTTTCCATTTGGGCTCGAACTTACATGACTACCTTTAGGCTCTGGGAGCAGTGTCACGGCCAGCCAGCATTGGAGACGGAATATGCATGGGGTTTTCGTTGCATATATTGGTTGTGGTTATTTAGGTTGCATAGTTGGCTTTCCTTTGTATAAGTGACTGGAATGGATTGCTGCGCAACGGAACATGGCGGAATCAGATGGAAGGATCGCGGCTGCGCGCGACGCCAAGGACTTTCTTTTGTATTAGTTATCATGAAGGATTTCCTTGATATATAAGGGGGTGTACCCTCTTATATTTTACTTTCTTTACGCAATCTGGTAATCTCCTTTGGACATCTGTACCTAGGAATTACACTCTCTTCTACTCCACATCCTCCTGAACCTCTGAACCCTGACCCTGAACCCTTGACCCCTTGAACCTTGTACAACTCTCTTCGGTTGTACCTCCGTTCCTAGACCTTGCCTCTAGACTCTTGCCTGTTATTATCATAGTATGCCTTGGGCTACCCGACCGTCAGATCCTGCCCATTATACAAGATTGCATCTACCAGGACCCAACCCACACCAAACCATGGCCACGTCCCACCTTTCCATAGATATCATGGGGCCCCTCCAAGAGCTCGGGGCCATAAGGAATAACAATATCTAAGGTCTAACTCAGGCTCAGCTCTCGGCCCAGTTCACGCTCAGTAGGAACCTGGCCTGCCGACTACTAGACGTACCAGCCCCTCCCCGTCATCAGGCAACCCCCACGCCACCCGAACAGACTCCCCAGTACCAACATCTACAGCAACACTGTACCTTCCTTGCCCAAGAACGAGACGACGCCTGTACTGAGGGCCAAGGCCTCGAGGCCCATCTGGTTATTGTTGAAGCCAGCCTGACACAGGCCAATGCTACCATCATGTCCCTGAACACCGCCCTCGCTCTCATGCCCGCTCCTGGTACCACCGCCCTTGCTGGCGGTAACAAACAAATCTCAATCCCCAACCCTGAACAATTCGATGCCACCACTGAGAAACTCCATCCCGTCGTCACCCAGCTA